CAGATAACTTGGAATATCTAGGACATGTTATTTCTGCTGGAGGAGTATCCGCAAATCCTAAGAAGTTTGAAGAAATGGCGCTATGACCTTCACCCAAAGATGTCACCAGCTTAAGGGGATTCATAGGCCTTATTGGCTATTATAGGAGATTTGTTCATGATTATGGAAGAATAGTAAGGCCATTGACCTACATGTTGAAGAAAAATGTCTTCCAATGGAGTTCAGAGGCACAACTTGCATTTGAACAACTAAAGCAAGCCATGACCAATTTGCCTACATTAGTAGTACCCAACTTTTCAAAGCCTTTTGTGGTTGAAACGAGTGATTGCGGAACTAGACTAGGGGTTGTTCTAATGCAATAAGGAAGACCCATGGCCTTTTGGAGTACTATCCTATCATAAAGGAATAAGAGGAAATCCGTGTATAATCGCGAATTGATGGCAGTCGTAAAAGCTGTCCAGAACTGGAGACACTACTAGTTGGGAAACCTTTTAATTATTAAAACTGACCAAAAAGGTTTGAAAATTTTGACAGATCAGAGGATGATCCGTGAGGAATAATACAAATGGATTTCCAAATTAGCAGGATATGATTTTGAAATATAGTATAAACCAAGGAAGAAAAACTCAGCCGCTGATGCCCTATCCAAGAGAAGTTCTTATTGTGCCGTGACAGTCTTACAAATTCACGATTTCGAGGAATGGGATGAAGAGGTCAAACAAGATGTCAAGTTACAGAAAATCATACAAGACATAATTATCAATCCCATATCTCATGTTAGCTACACGTTAAAGGATCAAAAACTATTTTACAAGGAGAAATTGGTGTTGTATAAATCGTCCTCCAGAATTCCCATCATTTTAAAAGAGTTCCATTCATCCTTGGTAGGAGGAAACTCAGGAATCTTCAGGACTTATAAAAGAATATCAAATCTAGTTTATTTGGAAGGGATGAAAACCGATATCAAAAATTTTATTGCAGCTTGTGAAGTCTGTCAAAGAAACAAAAGCGATAACTTATCACCAGTAGGACTGTTACAGCCATTACCAATTCCTACTCAAGTATGGACAGACATCAAGTATGGAGGACTGACCAAATCCATGGGGAAGGATACAATCCTGGTGGTGGTTGACTGGCTCACCAAATATGCCCACTTCATACCATTAGGGAATCCTTATACCGCTACCGATGTTATTGCAGTTTTTCTACAGGAAATTTTAAGATTACATGGATTTTCGTCTTCCATTGTTTCGGATCGTGATCCTTTATTTTAAAGAAATTTTTGGAAAGCCCTTTTTAAAGCAATAGGTACACAACTAAAATTCAGTTTGACATACCATCCTTAAACGGATGGACAAGCAGAAGTTGTCAATTGATGCTTGGAAGTTTATTTACGATGCTTAACATGTACTAAGCCTAAGAAATGAGTCTCTTGTCTTCCCTGGGCAGAATTCTGGTTTAACACCAATTATAATGCTTCAAGAAAAATGTCCCCTTTCAAAGAGTTGTATGTACATGACCCACCTCATATTCTTAAAGGATCCACCATTCCTTCCTGCCTTGAAGAAGCCAACAAACTTACAATTACTCGAGATGAATTATTGGCGGCTGTAAGAGAGAATTTGTTGAAGTTCCAAGATGTCATGCGCGCAAATGCCAACAAACACCGCCGAGATATAGAATATGAAATCGGTGATTGGGTGTTCTTGAAGATGCAACCTTACAGGAGAATATCCTTGGCTAAAAGGATTAACGAAAAACTCTTCCCTCAATTTTATGGTCCTTTCTAAGTGTTAAAAAAGTGGGTGGTGTTGCTTACAAATCAGATCTTTCATCTCACAGTAAAATTCATCCAGTATTTCATGTCTCTCTCCTTAATAAGGCTATTATAGATTCTTTCCAATCCCAACCTTTACCATATATGCTATCTGAGGATCAGGAATTACAGGTTCATCCAGATTCTGTATTTTATATATTCGTGAATTACAACCTGGAAACGTGGAAGTCTTAGTTAAATGACAGAATCTCCCTACAAGTGAAAATAGTTGGGAATCTGTGGCTAAATTACAAGAGGTCTTCCCAGATTATCACCTTGAGGACAAGGTGGGTCTTTTAGGCGGGGGTATTAGTAATCCTAGGCCACCCATCAACAAGTTTTACACCCGCAGTCAGTGATGCTCAGGGAGTGCAGGGTCAAGAGATGCGAATTAGGGGGCGTGACCCTTGGTGAACAAACACACTTACCCGAAAGGATGCAACTCTTGGAACCAAATAGCATGAAATCTAACAGTCACAACCCTTCAGGTTAATTGTGCCAATTAAGAATAGATGTTAAATGCAATATAAATAGAAGCAAATCAGAATTAGGAAACCATTCAGGAAAATTAGGAAGAATTTGAATTATGGAGAGAAAGACTCTCGAAAACCCGTGTTGTAATATTCGAAAATTATCTACATAAATTTCAGTTGTAATATACCAAAATTATCTACATAAATTTAAGTTTTCATTTTTTAGTTTTTGTTCCATTTTGTTTGGCTCTTATCAATTTATGTGTAAGCTCGTACTAAGCAGGTGGCCTTATGGATGTATATTGTTGTTGTTTGGATGCCCATGGTTTATAGCGTATGTTTTCATGAATTACTTTTGGTATGCTTGGTTTAGGTGGCCTTGTTGTTGATGAGGCATGACGGTGATGAGGTTTATTGTTTGTGCAAGTTACTAAAAAAATGCATGGCAACATGATGATGTTGATTAATGTTGCAGGTTTGTAGCAGATGGCCTAGGCATGCTTGTTGGTCTCATTGATGTTTTTTGGTTGTTATTGCACTGATGCAGGTTGGTGTACATGCTACCATATCATCTATTTTATGTAGAGCATCTAGGTCATAATGTACAGGTTTTAGATGCTTAGCATGTGTTGGTGAACTGGCATCTTGATGCATGCCCTTTAGTTTTTGTTGCATAGCACATGATGATGATAAATATGCAGTTTGTATTGATGCAAGTCTGACATGAAAGCATGACATAGTTGGTTATGAAGGTTCCTGTTGTGTAAAGTTGCCATCACCATTTGCTTGATCATGAAGAAACCTTTGGACCAATGTGATGATAGAGAGGAATGGACTTGCACACCTGGAGGGAATAGGTCTAGGAAGAAGGTCTTAGGTCATCTTGACTTTGCACACAAAAAAGTCAACATTTGACTAAAAGTCAATTGAAGGTCAAATGTATCACTGTGTAATTTTCAATGTATTTGGTATTTGTAATAGTTTTTCTGGCTTTTTCGTAATGAAGTTGACATTTGATCATGTACTTTGACTTTTGAATATTGTAATGTTGACTTAGTGTAAACCTTGACTTTTTGCATGTTTCTTGGCTTTGAAGTAATTAAATCAAATCTTCTTCAAAACTTGAATGAATTAGACCCAATTGTGATGATAACCCAAGATGTAGTCAAAATGATTTTGGTCAAAAAGTCAACCTCTCTAGGTTGACTTTCACCAAAAGTCAAAGTTCTTGTAAATGGCTCCCAAATGATTCTTTTCCACAAATAGGCACCAATAACTATGTTCCACTTAAAAATAAATGTTTCCAAGGTGTTTGGTCAACTATAGGGTTGGCTTTGACCAAAAGTCATTTGTTCCTCTAAATCAATTTTCTCAAGCAATCTCACCAAAAGAGCTCTTGTATCATGGAGATGACGTCTTAGTCCAGATGATATATTGCACCATAAGTAAGGAAATGCCATCAAATGAGATCTAAGTCTGATAAATGTCCAAGTCTTTATCTATGCAGATGAGATCCAATGCTTGTAGACCCTTTTGAACTAATGTAATAAATGGATTAATGTATGCAGATAAATGAATCCTAAAAAAATGAATGTTTGGAATAGGAGAATGCAAATGAATTTGAAAGCTGGAGTCAGATGAAATAGGAAGAGGAGTAGAACAAATTTAGGATATGACAGCAGAGACTTGCTCTAATTTGGTCTTTGTGTGCTGAAAATTGTAGTTTTCTGATCCTTTTTACCTACTTTTAGTTAATACAAGCTAGAAAAGTTTAAACATATACTATATTCTATTACTTTTATAGACAAACTGGGAGATTTTTATACTAATTACCTGTAAAATAAGTTAATAAATACTTATATATTATAAGTAAATTTGATACTTATTAGGGTCTAAATCACCCCCTACTCAAAATAATTTAATCAAGTAAGCCACATAACAACCTTCCACATCAATGGAAATTATGTAATCCAATGAAGAGAAAATAGTTAACATAATGGATTACTCAATTTAAAGAAATCCAGGGAAGACCAATTTAAAAAAAAAAAAAACAGATTGAACTGACTTTTATGTTGTGGAAATTATGTAATCCAATGAAGAGAAAATAGTTAACATAATGGATTACCCAATTTAAAGAAATCCAGGGAAGACCAATTTAAAAAAAAAAACAGATTGAACTTACTTTTATGTTTTTTGGAAAGTCATTCAATCTGGATCTGTGGGTTCAGAGTATTTTGGTATGCAATGAGGGGTAATTTTATTTCTTCTCACTTGTTCATTGGATCAATTGAAAGATAAATGAGGAAATTTTTTTAAAATTTCACCATATATACAAGGACAAATTTGTCAATTAATATAAAACATAAGAGTAAAAGAATAATTGTTGGGGTGTAGGAAAAACTCTTCCTCATATTGGACTTAATTCCTCGTATTGGGCTTAACAATTGACTTTTTTTTAAAAGAAAAGCAAATTAAATAGAAAAAAAAAAAAGATAAAAGGTTGCTGTAAAATAGCATGTTGATTATATGAAAAAGATCTTAATTCATTCAACAAGTAAATGTCAATTTTCCAACTAAAACTTAACAAACAGATTCAGCCTCAAACAGAATTTACAATGCAAATTAATCTAAGTGTACAAAATTGCACAAAGACATAAACATAACACAAACAACATCACCATATATAGATAGATAGATAAATCTCTCAGTCACTATTTTTGAGGCTTCTTCCACAAGACTCCAATCTTCTTCAACATGTTTCCATTTTTCTTTCTCTGAAACTCATCATCAATATCATCACCATAAGGTGGTGAACACTTATAGTTTTTCTCCAAAGACACACCTCTCTCTGTAATCTTCTCATTGTTCCCGGCCGAAAGCATAGCAGCAGCCGCTTCTGCAGCCTTCCTCCATTGATCAGATTGTACCATAAGCTTCCGCAGTTCGCTTTCCATTTCTAAGCTAGCCGCTTGCGCTGCTTCTAACTGTTCTGTCACTCTCGCGGCCTTTCGGCTGCTTCTGTCTGCTTCCTCCATCGCAATCCCGAGTTTTGTTGCCACCTCGCGTTCAGCAGCCTTAACTTTCTCTATTTCCTCTCTCGCATTTACACCATCCGAATAGCGCTTGCTGATCTCCATCTTCAGCGTCGCGTTCTCTTCTGATATGCTTTGCAATGTTGTTTCCTTGTCCATCATATCAGCTTTCATTTCATCCAAACATTGTTCCAATCTTTTAACTTCCTTTTCAAGTCCATTATCATTCTGTGATGACATGTTATTTTCGAGCTGCAAATTCAAGTTCTCGTTCTCTTCCATGATACATTGCAACTCGGTTTCTTTGTCCATTAGATTAGCCTTCAATTCTTCAATATCGGCTTTCTTTCTTTGTAATTCAGCCTCGAACTCGCGTTGTCTATGACCTGATTCAGATTTTATCTGCTCCATCAACTCGTACGCGGCTTTTATCTGCACCGTGCTTTGAATCTGTTCTTGTTGATATTTAGTCTCGGCAGTCTCTATATCAGATCTCAACCGTTCAACCTCGGATTTTAAAGAACAAATCTCAATTTCAGTTTGATTAGGATCCTCTCCATCTTTCACTATTTCACATTCCTTCTCGAATTCAGGATCAGAATGAATTGACTCATTATCCTTTACGTGTGTCTTAAGTTTGCTAACAAGTGTCTCTTGCGTGTTCACCCTTGCTCTAGAATGTTCTAATTCCAAAGCAATGGAATTGTAGCCATCTACATTTTTCACAACATCGTCCGCTAGAATCTCGACGGTTCTTTTTGCAGCTTCGAGTTGGAACAAAGCTTCATCGACAACAACTTGAGCCCGAACTTCAGACTCTTTGGAATTATCGAGTTGGTTTTTCATGCTCTCCATCAGAGAAAGAGATTCTGATAACTTCTGCTTAAGGTTTAGTAGCTCCGTATTCGCGGATTCAGCATGTTGAGTTTGAACACTACCACATTTAGCTACCAACTCAAGCTGTACCTTTAGCAGCTGAATTTCCTTCACTGCAGAAGCCAAAGCAGTTGAGTCAACCGAAAGATTCTTTTCAGACGCGTCGAGCTCGGATTGCCATGCCCTGTCGCGTTCTTCGGTCAGTCTCCTGAGCTCAATATCACGAGCTTCTCCGTTAGCACAAAGCTCCAAGTATTGGTTTTGAGATTCTTCGAGTTTTGCAAATAGCGTTAAGAGCTGCTCCTTGGATTCCTCGGCGTCTTGCTGAGCTTGCTTCTTGCTTGATTCAGTTAAAACTAGCTGGTCCATCACCTTCTTCAAATCATCTTGAAGTTGAGAAATTTGGGATTCCAATTCAGATATTTTGCTAGGACGTTTCCTCTATTGCAACATAAATTATAATGGTTAAAACTATCTTCTCAACAAACTCAAAGATAACGAAAAATGTACTGAAAACAATGCTAGCAATGTGCTACACGCTATTATTGAATAAAATTTATGTAAGCAGATACACAGACACGGACACTGTGACACTGAACCTGACATCACAAATACTCGTGCGTGACTTTAGGAGTGATAATAAAAACTATTACCTCAGGAACCGGGCTTCTGGGTGATTTTCGATCATTGAGTTTGGGGCTTCTTTCCTTTGATAATCTATTAACTTGAGTTGAAGACGACGAAGAAGAAGATATAGAGTTTGTGTCTATCGTAGTAGTCCTCATTTGGCGTACAGCGCGTCCAGAAACCTTCTGAGTCACTTCAGAAGAACCACTTCTGAAATTTGAATCAAAAAAATTGTTACTAAAACAAATATAAAATCTTAAAAAACTTGTATATCGCTCTGTTGAGTTCGATCAATTTATACCTTGTTGTCATTATTAAAAAATCTTCGGTTCCTCGCACTCAAATAGCAACTAAAATTCTATTGTTTCAAATTCTAGATGTTTAGTGTAACCATTCTTGATGCCAAAATTTTGACAGACATTTGAAAAAACATACAAAAAAATTGGTACTACAATGTTTTTGTTCAGTCAATAAAAGAAGGTAATAACTGCCATGGGTCCCAATGTCCCATTCAATAGTTAAGGGAGGAACCTACTTCAACCAAAGAGGAAACGCAATAATGACTTATGAAACATGATTATGCATTTGTGCAACGAGAAAAAAGTGTGAAAAATTCACAATTACTACTACTATTCAATGCAGAAGTTACATTTTAAACATATAGAAAGAAAAAATACTTTGAAACCAGCAAAGTACTAGAAAAACAACATTTATAGAAGAGAAAAGAGTAAATAGTAGAAGTACTATTTCAAAGATTACCTTGTTTTTGGGGTATGCATAGCTTATAGCTCAAAGGGTTAATGGCTTGGGCCTCACACACGTTGAAATATGAATGCACCCTGACCTACAAGTACCGTAAAACTTCAGAAAAATATCACAATGGCACAAGTTGAGGAGACAAGTGAATCCAATGTGAAGTTCATGAATTTATTCAAATCATTAATGTGTTCATGCAGATCATGGGGCTATCTTTCTCATCTTTATCCCCTCGCTGTAAATGCTGGATCATTGCACACTAGCATGATTTTCACTTTAATGCTATAAAGATGAACAAGTGGGATGTCACGGGTTCAAACCCACGGCTCTGAACCTGATGTCTCTGCACAGCTACCAACTGAACTGATTTCTCGGGACTAAATTAAAATTATGAATTATTGAAAGCATACCTTAGACTAAATATAACACAAAAAGTCAAGCATATTTGAATTTTCTAACGAAAAAAGTGCTCACAATTGAGGAAAAAAATGCCCTCTTTTTACCAACTGATGCTATGATAAGCTCTTTCACACTAAAAACTTATGATCATGTGGAACCCATCTCAATTCCTATTGATGATCAATGGGTATTTTAGTTATTTAATTACTGAAATTTTCTTAGCCTATAATTTAGCCGCAAAACATGGCCCATATGATACAACACATATGTTTTAACTTTTAAACTCAAAAATGCTTAAACCTTCTCATTATGTCTTCTATATGATAATTAGTTTTACTATAAGCCAATTTTAATAGTTATGTAAAGACATCATATACAAATATACAAATGCAGAGCGTGAATTCTACCCGCGACTCTCACTCTTTCATCTCTAAAGAGTGAATTCTAACCACTAAACTACTTAGACAAAAAAATTCACTTTAAGGAACAAACAAAAAATAAACCATTGTAAAAGACATTGAACTCTACAACAAAAGAAGATAATGGAATGCGAAACACCCAACTTTTGAAATTGTACAAAGTACTCCATAAAGAAGAAGAAAAAGAAACAAGCACAAGAACAAACAGACAAAAGAATTCCTAGTAGTACGTTACGGAATCAACCTTTTTTATAAAAAATTATATTCGTTTTGCTTTCCAAAAAAACACAACATTCCCATTATTGCAAAACAAAAAAAAGAAAGTATAATTTAATTGAAAGTAGATAGTGCATTTAATGTAAAGATCTTTCTAAAATAGCTTTTCATGTGAAATGTCTTATACTTTTTATTTTATTTTTTATCGATTAAATCTAAACAAGTGAAATGTTGCAGTTTGAATCCACTCAAACTATCAACTGAGCTGACTTAACGTAATATATTTTGTTTTGTTTGCAGACAATGATGAATAAATGGAGAATAGTTGAGAGAGATGTGATGAACTTACTTGAAGGAGTTGTTGTTTGGGGAAGGTGGAGAGAGAAGTGAAAAGTGAAGTTACCGTTTAGTTGAATGGAGTTTGAACTTGTGTTGTGGAGTGGAAAGTGAAGGTGTTAAGTGGAGTGAAAGAAAGAGAGAAGTAGTGAAAAAGAGAGTACGTATTTGTTTGAGGGATGTTGATTAAATTGGTTTTAATTTGGTGTTTGCGTCCGCGTAGTAGAATACTGCATTCCACGTGGCGTATAACGTATGGTAATCTTTCTTTGCTATCTTTGGACTACTACATCATGCTAGTATTGTCGTGTTTTTACTTGGAATCAAGAATGGATAAGAGTTTTATCTCAACATCCTATCATTTTATCTCTCTTACTTTTTCATTTCTTTTATTATTTATACAAATTTGTACCTAAAAATTGTAATACTCCCTCCATAACAATATATAACCAAGTCTGATTTTTTTTTATATATTTTTAATTCATATATATATATATATATATATATATATATATATATATATATATATATATATATATATATATATATATATATATATATATATATATATATATATATATATTAATGATAAATGTGTCAAAAAAAGTTAAATTTATTTATATATTATTATAGAGAAAGTATATTTTTTTAACACTCAAGTTTAAATGTTATTTCTTCGTTTCAAAGTTACTGTCGTTTAAAATTTTTATATACAAATTAAAAAATATAATGATATTATCATAAAACATTACACTTTTATAAAATTAATTTTATTAATATATTAGAAGTAGTGTAAGAAGTAAAAAATAAAAGACACAATTGAAAAAATAATTATTATTACTATATTAAAAAATGAAAATGACAATAATTTTAAAACAAAATTTATTTGATAAAACAGTCATTTTGAAAACTATTATTTATCAATAAAAGAGTATTTCCTCCTATATTTTATAAATGATTAAAAATATTCAATTTATTAAAGATTCAGTGAAGTTGGTTTAATTTAATGACTTAAATTTTTTTTGAAATTATCATTATTTAAAGAGCACATTTACCACTTGATTTTGTTTTTTTTTATGCGGATAGGTAAGAATTTTATTATCTTGAAAGATTTCTTTTGGACATCAAATAATATAATATAGTTTGAATGTTAATTGTATAGATCGTAATGTTTTATATATGATCAGTTTTTTAAACTCTTTAATTCAAAATTTTATGTTATATTTTCTCAAACTCTCTTTCATTTTTATATAATTATTGTTTTTTTTAACACAATCGATATGTGTTTTGAAATCATAAATCCCATAATCGTCCTAAATGACTGTGGATAAGTCTTTTTCAACGAATTTCTTCTATGAAGATTAATGAAGAAAATATTGTGGATTTATGTGTATTAAAAAAAATGATTCATGTTAGTGCGTGAGACACTTTTAGTGAGGAGAAAAATAGAGAATAATAAAAGAAATAAGGATTTATATTATTGAACTCACTACGCTAAAAAAGGTTTTAGGCAGCGCACATTAGACAACGCTTTTTCCCAAAAGCGCTGCTATAAGTCAAATAAAAAATAAAACACGAAAGGTATTAATGAAATTATGTAAAAGCGTTGTTAAAAGGACCACTTTAGACAACGCTTCTCCAAAGCGTTGCTAAAAGGTCCACTTTAGACAGCGCTGCTAATAGACCATATTAGACGTCCCTTCTTAGTAGCGCCGCTAAAGGCCCACGTATCAAGCGTTGTTAAAAGGTCCACCTTAGACAACACTTCTTAAAAGCGCTGCTATAGGCCTACGTATAAAACACTGCTATAGGCCTACGTATAAAGCACTGCTAAAGAAATAGAAAACGCTGGTAAATGACCATATTAGCCAGCACTTCTCCAAAGTGCTGTCTAAAGTCATATAAATTAGAATTAAAAAAAAGAATCCCTCCAGAACTCGTTTATATTCTTCACACAAACGCCCTTCCGCCGTTCTAGAAATTTATCTCCCTGCGTCCTTCCGTCGTTCCTTCAGATACCACCCTCCTTACGATGTCCCTCCGACCGCCCTCCTTTCGTCGTTCATCCGCCGTATCTCAAGGTATTTATTTCCTTCTACTTTTCTTATTTGTACGATTATGTCCATGCAATGTCTTCAAACTTCTCAACCGTGCTTTGCTACCAATGAACATGTCCATAATAGTCCTCATAAACTTCAGCTTCTAAAGAATAGTTTGTTTGCTCTGATAGAGTTTATTTCTTATTCCTTAAATTTCTGATTTTATTTGTTTCCTTCAACGAAATTTTTATTTTTTACTCTAAAAGTTATTGTTGGTATTCTATAAAATGAGTTTTTGTTTTTCATTTTTTTAGTTAATCAAGAGTAATTTTTTTGTGAAACTAATTTAGGTTTTTTTAAGTGAAAGTTTAGGTTTGCAGGAATTAAAAAGCTATTCTTGTATTCTTTTGAATGCTTTCCAACAGTGAGCCATTTTGCATACTCCACATTTGGTATTTTTATTGAAAAACTCTAAGTTGGATCTCTGAGTCATAGTTTAAGTTGCATTCTCAATCACGTTCATAGTTGTATTCTAAATAGGAGTGACCATATTATAAAGATAACAAGTCCCTAAAAAGGGCTAGCTAGTCTTTGTTTTTGTATGTGCTAAAGGAGATCATTGATAACTTGCATATTGATATGTTTTTGTCAGATTGTATTGTTTCTATAACTTTTAGATTCAATTCTTCATTTAATAATTAAGAGATGCATATATTCATAATGTCTTGATACAACAGACAAGAACTGAGAATAACTTAAGATAACCCCATCGAAGTTTTTCAATGGTTCATTTTTTACTATTTTTAATTCCGGACTTTGATTGCAACACATATAAATTGTATTCTCAATGCATTTTCAATGTTAGTGTGCTTACTAAAAGTGATATTATTCTCAAATCTGTGCATTTTCAATGTTAGTGTGCTTACTAAAAAGTTGGTTAATACGTTTTTGTATTGGTGTAGTTAAGTTCAAATTCAACATTACCGACTCGTTTATTTATTTACTATCTGCTTCCTAAATTATAAAATATTCTATCTATATCAATTAAAAAGCACAATTAATTTTATATAGAAATAATTAATTTTAGTCTATATCGATCTAGAACTAATCCGATTAAATATTACGAAATATTTCTAAAAGTTTGTATTAATATTCTTTTTGTGTTCGCAAATTTTTTTTTCTTTATGTTCTTTTGAAATAGTTGCGTGAATAATTATAGTGTTTTTGTTTACCTTAATTAGTAGTAATTCCATGGATAAAAAATGGATGACTGTCGATCAATTGTCAAAAGAGTACGAGAATGGGGTATTGGAATTTGTTAAGTTTGCTGTTAAACACGTCAAAGACTCCAGTCGAATGAAATGTCCTTGCTTGGGTTGTTGTTATGTGGGTCGGGTTGACGCAGATGGATTGAAATCGCATTTATTGACGCGTGGGATTGATCGAAGTTATAAGTGTTGGATATATCATGGTGAGAAAATTAACGAGAATGTTGAACCGGGGGAGAAAAGTAATACGACGACCTATGCTCCAAACGACAATGACACGAACACAGACGATTGTGATCGAGTCGAAGAGATTGCAGAAGCACTTGAAGAAGATATTAAGGATTGT